ATCGACACATACTTCTCAGGTACTCCATTCCTCAGCAAACAGTTCCATAGTGCGGTCCTATCGACAGAGTCGAAAGCCGCTCGGATGTCCAAGAATACAATGATCGTCGGCCTCTGATAAGCATGACGGTGCTTTAGCAGCTGTCGGAGGGTGAAGATTTGATCGATGCATCCACGACCGGCACGAAACCCAGCCTGCTCCTCACGGGTCTGCTCTTCGCGCGTAGTGTACAATCGGCGGAGAATGACGGACGCAGAACGAATGGGAATCACTGTTCCCGGTGAAAAGAAAACCAACAGGCCTGTCACACTGAACAAGAGTACGACGTGTAAGAGTTGGGATGAAATGAAAAATCTAGGTTTTGTCTGTGTTCTACACGAAGGTTTGCTAATAATTAGATCCGATAGTAATGGGATGGTTGAATTGGTGCCTAGTGCTGAGCCTAACGACAGTTCAACCGATGCAACCGAAACTAAGCTAGATAATGGTAACCATAGAAGTTGATACGTTTTTCGGATATATCACTAACCTTTTCTATTTGAAGTTGTTCCGATTTGCATCCTTCTACCTTCTCGTACAATGTTGTTATTTTTTCTCCGTTGTTAATCAGTGCCTGGTCCCACTGAACGATTCGATCGGCTTCGTCAAAAAAATAACGCTCTTGATCCTCCAATTCACATGCCCACTTGTTGATCAAGTCTTCCAACTGATTGTATGTCAGTGTTGTAGTCTTGCTTGCAGTCGCAGTTGTCTGGACCGGACCAGTTGTGACCGCTGTTGTGCTAGTGGATGTCGCACTGACTGCGGAAGTTGCAGGTGCCAGACTAGATGTGGTAAGGCCCAACCCAATAGTACTCACAGCAGTGGTTGCTGTTGTGCTGGTGGTAGGAGTACTCTTGAAAAGTGAGGTGCTCAAACCGAATCCGGCACTTATTGATGTAGCTGCAGTTGCTGGAGCAGTACCAACAGTGGGGGTTGTGTTTGCTGTGGACGGGGTACCGAGAACTGGCAATGATGATGATGACTGGGATGTAGTAGTTCCCAAACCTATTTGTGAAGGTGCGCTGGTAGTCGTGCTTGGAGTTCCAATTGATCCGGTGAGAGTACCCAACGGTGTTGTGGATGTGGTAGGAAGTTTCAATGGCGACTGCAAAGGAGACTGAAATGAACCGGCGACGGATGACTGGGTGGTATTTTGTGTTGTTTGTGTACTCGGATTTGTTGGTACACCAAAAGTAGGCAACGAGCCGAACGGCTTCAAGCCGGAACCCGCAGTGAGCCCAGAAGTGAATGGACTTTGTACCGTTGTGGTTGTCTGGGGAGCTGATAATGAGCCTATCGATGCAGAAGTACCAAAGCCGGTGGTTGCTGGCTGTCCCACCGTAGATGACTGTTGAGTAGAGGTTAAACCAAAAGAAAAAGGTGAGGCAACCGTAGACGTAGGATTCGTCGCTCCTAAGCTGAATGGAGTTCCGACTGCACCGAGTGTGTTGCTTGGTTTTGTTGCAGAAAGCCCGAAACCAAAGGCGGGTGCACCCACAGCAGGACTGGCGGTGGCCGTGGTAGTTGGAGTTTTCAGTCCAAGCCCAAAAGCAGGACTGGCCATGCCGCTAGTCGTAGTAGATGTGGTTGTCCCGAATAAAGAGAATCCAGTAGTCTTTGGCGTCTGCAATCCAAACCCTAAGGATGGCTGTCCTAGTGCGGTTGTGGCTGGAGAGAACAAGTTTGTTGTTGCAGCCGGTTGAGTTGGGTTTGTCGTGCCACCAGCGGTTGGGAATCCGAATGAGAAACCAGTCCCAGTCCCTGTGGTTGGAGTACCGAAAGAAAAACCTACAAAGGAAAAGATGTTTTAAGCTGGATGATTGATTATGAGTCAGATGATAAAACACTAAAGACACTGGAACACCGGTTTGAAGTCTATGGCATTTTGTCACACAAACCTGACGCATTTCAAGTAATTCGGACAATCTAGTGCTTCAAAAAATGACTTGGTTCTAGCTTAAGAAGAGCCAAAATAGTTTCAATCTCAGAGGCTGGTCAGGGATGGATGCGGATAATTATCCTCTAAAAGGAACAAACACTCTACAAAGCGTATGCCTATCCATTGTCTACCTTTCCGTGCTCTCTTTGCACGTGCTGGGAAAAGGAAAAAGAAAGACCGCCGCGATTAGACTGTGAAATTGCGTGGTGTGAAGAAGCTAGCTTTAGCTCTGGGTTTGGTTTGAGCAGCCCACCTTCCAGACTGGGGCAAAAGGGATGAGGACTGTCGCTCGTTAGAGACGCTGAGAGAGATATGGCACAGAAAAGTCCGTGTCGCGAATGCCGTACGGTCTGCTCGTTAAAGTCTTGTACACCGTAAAAAACGCTAAACTAACAAACAAAAAATAACACAAAGCGTACGGTAAAACAAAAAAACATCGTTATTCTTGTTATCTTGCTTGCTCTGTAACTGCTTGATCTTTCATATCTCACATTGTTACGTGCCCCAATATCCCAGCTTGTAATTATTGTTATTGTGTCCGCGCCATGCATGTTCCCAAGCCGGCAGATTTGATGTCGTCCGGTTGAATACCACGGCTGGCCTAGGGAGGGGGTCCTTATGTGGTTACCATCATTGAACAGCAGGTCTTCGTGACTGTGGAGTTCCATCCCGCCTGGTATCCCATCACACACCGGTGTAATAAAAAAGTGAGGCTCACCATTTCGAATCCCGTGACTTGGGTTGCCGATTTCCAATACTTAACAGCACCTATTCGTGAAATGGGATTCACCCTTTTTGCTGATCATCACAAAATAATAATGATAATAATGATAATATAGCAAAAATCTGGGAATAAGAATAAATCGCACAGGACCAAAAACAGCAAGAGATTCTCAACTGGATGATAGCGAAGCCAAAATGGCGACAGCAGCGAGAACAGCGCAGACGATCTTATGCAAAACTGTGCGCCAACTTGTGCATACTACTTTGGTACCACGGCCAAAGGCTAATCAGTCTATTTTGACCACGACTTATGATCAAATTAGCAAGCTGGAATAAAGTTGGACTGGTTCAATATCATGTATTTTCTAAGAGCGGGTGATCAGTTTCAGTCTTTCCAGTCAGTTTGTACAACCATTAACCATGCACTTTCGTGTGGCAGTTTTGGTTAGTCTTTTGGCTGCCCATTTGGATGAAGAATAGGAGAAGACAGGAAGTGGAAAGTAGAGTCAAAAAGGAAATGGAGAATTTGTCTTAGGCATCCACTTAGAGCGGGTGATCATTATGTATAAGGGTTTAGATCACTTTAAGGAAAGCCCAACAAATTACCTCGTACGGAGGAAGAATAGCCAAAAACCATGGAATCATGGGACAAAGAACGCAAGTGATTGAGAACAAGCAAAATTGATGGTCGTGTATTGATCGTCTTTACCTTGACTCTTTTGCATTACTTTGATGAATACGTCACGGATAGCCCTTATTATACGGTGCTCAACTTTACTTTACTATGATTAACCTTTATGAGAGTATGTTCCGATTATGTGAACAGAATTCACGAGAATTCAAAACAGATGGTGTCCTCAACATCGCTCAACACCCCTAACTTTTACACAATCAAGTGTGACCTACGGAGCAATAAGGTTTTCGTAGCGATGCACATGCATTTAGACCGCTTTCCTGGTCACTAGATCAATAATATAACGTTATCTGCCAACTTTGACTGAAATGGTTCACAATTATGAATGCAGATACGATTCATCGAGTTTCGATGGATTCAATAACTGTGACTTGATTCCACTTGTATAACAAGCGGGTACAGGGATGTGGCCGTTGAGTAACTGGCTTGTGTTACAGATTTACTACTGTGCCTTGTGTTGCTTAAATAGCTGTTATTCTGGGTGCATATTTTACTTGTCCCGTTTAGCTCTCAGGCTTCGTGCTTAATCGACTAAGGGACAATAGACCGACACGGATCCTAATAATCCAAAGATGCTGACTCCTGGGAACACTGGTACTATACGTTCACCAACTTCCTAGGGCTGATAGAAGGGCACAAACCAGACAAACTCAAGACCCTCATGCACTTTCTGTCTCCTACTGCCTACAAATTCGTTTCACGATGCACTAATTATGATTCCGCCATTACGACTTTTCAATCATTATACATTCAAACAAAGAACAAAATTTTTGAGCGTTATCTTCGGGCGACATCGATGCAAAGTACTCTTGAAACTCTAGATCAATTTATACAGAAGCTCAGAAACCTTGTTCGAGACTGCAATTTTAAAGCAGTCGGCGCAAAACAAAACAAGGACGCTATCCGTGTCATGTTTATCAGCGGGCTATTACCCAACCCCATCCGTCAGCGACTTCTTGAAAATAAAATACTCGACGTGAGTATCGCATACGATCAAGCTCAAGTTCTCAATCTAGATCAACAGCAGTTTGGAACATTCACCCAAGCCAGTGCCGCTGCGAGCGCGCTAGAGTAGACAGCTGAGACGACATTGGCTGCATCCTGAACAAGCTGCTTCTTTTGTGGCTATGATCGACATCCCTGTCATAAGTATCCTGCGAAAATTGTAATTTGCAAGTCGTGTGGTAAGCGGAGACACTTCCAGCAAAATCGCCGGCTCCTCCCAACTCAAAGGATACCGCAGCTACCTTGCCATTCCTTGTCTCCATCAGTGTAGCCGCAGTCCCAGTGAGCCTTACTACGGCTGTCAACGGAGTCGCATTGAAAGTTCAGAAAGTTATTTATCTGAGGAGATCGTGTTCCGGAATAAACAGTTCACACAGACATCCAATGGTAAGATTCTTCTGGCTTCCACTCGTATGACAAGCTGTACCAGGGATCACTGTTTTGTCTCCCTAATACACAAAGTTACTCGGTCGTAAAATGTCAAACTGTCCGTTCTCTCCGATTTATGTGCTAACGTACTACTGGAACATGACAACGGCACACTTCAGTAGAAATACCCTTCCAAGGAATTCAGCCATTATTTTCTCTCTGTGGTCTCTCAACTGCTAGTCTTTCAGCCCCCTCCCTTTCGCACATCTGGATCTCCCTTGTTGTTCCATTTGCACAAAATCAAAAGGCCCAGCTACCATGATAACAATTTTATTCCCTCGGATTTTACGCACCCAACTTATCTTCTGAGTCCAGCTTTGGACTGCACGTAGTTGAAGAATGACTTCGGGTTTCTCCATGAGTTCCGTGCCAGCTTCACCTCATACTCCTGTCTATACGAACCGTGGAGTTGCGTTGCTCTTTGTTGCTCCGCTCGGTATTTTAGCAGATCTGTCCTCCGTTCGGCATGTAGCGTCTCTAGGCTAACACCACGGGGGGGGGCGTCCCTTGCCTTTCTTGAGGGGTGTCACCTA